TCCGCCGCAGCAGCCTCCGCCGCCGCCAGACGCGACCCCGCCTCCCGCGCCGAAGCCTCCGCCTCCGACGCGGCCCGCGCAGCCTCCGCCTCGAGCGCGCTCTGCAGCCAGCCCGACTGCGCCTCCGCCTCCGCACGCGCAGACTCGGCACCCGCCTCCGCCGCCTCCACCTGCGCCGACGCCGCCGCAAGCGCCTCGCGCAGCCGCGCCGACTCCGACTCCGCCGCCGCACGCGACGCCTCCGCCGCCGCCGCGCTCGCCTGAAGCGACTCCTGCTCGCGCAACACACGCATCGCACGCTCCTCCACTTCCGCCGCCTGCGCCACCGCTGCCTGCAGCGACACCTCCCGCGCCTCGCCGGCGGACTCGGCAAGGCGAACCAATTGCGCGCTCATCGCCTCCGCGGCAGAAAGGGCCGACGCAGCCGCCGCCGCCTCCGCCCGCACCGCCGTCAGCTCCTCGCGCAGCGGCGTCGGCGGGTGCGCCCTCGCCGCATCCACCTCGGCCCGCAGCTGCAGAGCCTCGGCGGCCGCCGCCTCGCGAAGCGAGAGGGCCTCCGCACGCGCGGCGCGCTCCGCCTCCTCCGCCGCAGCCAGCCGCGTGCGGAGGCTGCCAGCCTCCTCCAGAGCCGCGGCCCGGCCGCAAGACGCATCCACCTCCGCTGCCCGCGCCGATGCCTCCGCTGCACACGCCTCCGCCGCCGCCGCCTCTGCCGAAGCGAGCGCCGTCTCTGTGGCGGCCACGACAGCCTCGGCCGCCGACGCTCGTGCCTCGGCGGCACCTGCAACCGCGTCCGCCTCCACCGCCCTGCACATGGCGCTGTCGGCACGCTCGCGCTCGCGCGCCAGCCCGACCTCCGCCTCTTCGCGCGCGACAGCCAGCTCGCTCGCCTCCGCCCGCAGCGCCACTAGCAAGCTCTCCGCCTCCGCCTCCGCCACGATCGACTCGGCCTCGACCATCGCCGTCGCCGCCGCCGCCGCACCCTCCTCCGCTGCGAGCTGTCTCGTGGCGTCCTCGAGCGCACCGCGAAGACGATGGGCCTCCTCCTCCGCCGCCGCCAGCCAGCCCTCCGCCGCCGCAAGCGACTCGCGCAGCTCCGCCGCAGCAGCCTCCGCCGCCGCCAGACGCGACCTCGCCTCCCGCGCCGACAGCGAAGCCTCCGCCTCCGACGCGGCCCGCGCAGCCTCCGCCTCGAGCGCGCTCTGCAGCCAGCTCGACTGCGCCTCCGCCTCCGCACGCGCAGACTCGGCACCCGCCTCCGCCGCCTCCACCTGCGCCGACGCCGCCGCAAGCGCCTCGCGCAGCCGCGCCGACTCCGACTCCGCCGCCGCACGCGACGCCTCCGCCGCCGCCACCCGCTCCTCCGCCGCGGCCTCGGCGCCCGTGGCGGCCGCCTCGAGCTCCGTCGCCCGGGCCCGCACCGCCGTCAGCTCCTCGCGCAGCGGCGTCGGCGGGTGCGCCCTCGCCGCATCCACCTCGGCCCGCAGCTGCAGAGCCTCGGCGGCCGCCGCCTCACGAAGCGAGAGGGCCTCCGCACGCGCGGCGCGCTCCGCCTCCTCCGCCACCGCCAGCCGGCCCTCCGCCGCCGCAAGCGACTCGCGCAGCTCCGCCGCAGCAGCCTCCGCCGCCGCCAGACGCGACCCCGCCTCCCGCGCCGACAGCGAAGCCTCCGCCTCCGACGCGGCCCGCGCAGCCTCCGCCTCGAGCGCGCTCTGCAGCCAGCCCGACTGCGCCTCCGCCTCCGCACGCGCAGACTCGGCACCCGCCTCCGCCGCCTCCACCTGCGCCGACGCCGCCGCAAGCGCCTCGCGCAGCCGCGCCGACTCCGACTCCGCCGCCGCACGCGACGCCTCCGCCGCCGCCGCGCTCGCCTGAAGCGACTCCTGCTCGCGCAACACACGCATCGCACGCTCCTCCACTTCCGCCGCCTGCGCCACCGCCGCCTGCAGCGACACCTCCCGCGCCTCGCCGGCGGACTCGGCAAGGCGAACCAAGTGCGCGCTCATCGCCTCCGCGGCGGAAAGGGCCGACGCAGCCGCCGCCGCTTCCGCCCGCACCGCCGTCAGCTCCTCGCGCAGCGGCGTCGGCGGGTGCGCCCTCGCCGCATCCACCTCGGCCCGCAGCTGCAGAGCCTCCGCGGCCGCCGCCTCGCGAAGCGAGAGGGCCTCCGCACGCGCGGCGCGCTCCGCCTCCTCCGCCGCAGCCAGCCGCGTGCGGAGGCTGCCAGCCTCCTCCAGAGCCGCGGCCCGGCCGCAAGACGCATCCACCTCCGCTGCCCGCGCCGATGCCTCCGCTGCACACGCCTCCGCCGCCGCCGCCTCTGCCGAAGCGAGCGCCGTCTCTGTGGCGGCCACGACAGCCTCGGCCGCCGACGCTCGTGCCTCGGCGGCACCTGCAACCGCGTCCGCCTCCGCCGCCCTGCACATGGCGCTGTCGGCACGCTCGCGCTCGCGCGCCAGCCCGACCTCCGCCTCTTCGCGCGCGACAGCCAGCTCGCTCGCCTCCGCCCGCAGCGCCACTAGCAAGCTCTCCGCCTCCGCCTCCGCCACGATCGACTCGGCCTCGACCATCGCCGTCGCCGCCGCCGCCGCACCCTCCTCCGCTGCGAGCTGTCTCGTGGCGTCCTCGAGCGCA